CTGAGAAATTATTCACTTAATTTGACCCTAATTTGCTGGACAATCTCAAAAGGATCCTTCAGGAACTAGTTGTTTTTTTCTTTTTTGGCTGCATATTAAAACTTAGAGGAGGTGTATTAGGCATGTGGCAAATCACTTTAAAGCTTTTTTGCCATTTTGCCACAACATCCCCTTGAATGGGATTTTGTTATTTTCTTAGATGCTAGCTCCGCTTATACACAATAAAACTTATTTCTGAATAAAGTTAGCCTATTTTGGAACTATATGATTTGTAATATATTGACTATGAACAGAACTATAAGCGGTTAAACTAATTGGCTTAAAAAGAATTAAACTACAGCCGGAGCTAATTTAAATTAATCCCCACTGGAGTGAGGGAATTTATTCCTGGGCAAAAAAGTATGTGTGCAATTGGACTTAAATTTTAATTATTCCACAGAACATAGATTGGACTTTCACAATGAGATGGCTGCAAACTTCACTCCATGATGGTTAATATCTGAAATAAAGACTATGATTACTACAAAACAGATTCTGATGGTTGGCCTATTTGGGGACTGGGATAGATCAATTTGAGGGAGCTGCTGACAATAAAGTTTTTTTTAATTAAAGAAAAAATGTTCCATAAATATGGCAGGTTCCCAAAGGCAGCAGAATTAGATATTGGAGACATTGGAGCTTTGTTTTCTTTAACTATGCTTTTGTGTTACTCCTTCTGTTTGTTGCACAGGCAATTAGGATGACCAAAAGTTCACTGGAAAAAATAAATCAAGAGTTATATCAGTGATAGTGAGAGATGAGCAGTCAATTCAAATAATTCTTATGATTCTGAGCAACAATTTCCAAGGCTTCATTCGGGAGTAACTCAAAAAATTAAAAAGACTCTTTTTGAGACATTGGCTTAGTACTTTCTAACTCATTTCTGGAAATATTTTAAACTCCAGCAGGCTCATTTAAATAGAACCCTGGCATAACAGTGTCACATTAGAAGACACTTAGCTGCCAATTTTATTTCTCTCTTGATGACCTTTTGGCAAATAGACAGATCAAATTATGCTGAGAAAGGGCAGGCTTTTGCAAAAGATGAATGGGTTGTTGGATTCTGTATCCTATTCTCTCTGCAAATGTGGGAATAAAAGTGCACGAACTGCTTGTTTGCCTAATACACTGTGCCTTGGTAAGGTATGCTCTTATTAGCATTTTATTATCAGGAATAATGAAATACAACTTGGGTTTTTGGACTGCTGTAGGATTCTAACTGCTGTGGCCCCTTGGTTCAGGTCAACTCTAATTATGTGAGAATAACTGGGTTCAAACATTGTGCTGGTTCACTCCAATGATGCTTGGCTCAATAAATCCAGCTGTTTGACACTCTAATCCAACTGCATGAACCATGTTTAGGTCCAGTTCAATGCGCGAACCTAGCCAGTGACTACAGTAGTGCAGACAGCAGATAAATCATTTTGCCTCCACAGATTAAGGACTACCTTTTTCTGATACAGAGATTAGTGAGAAGGACTAAATTTGTACCTGGAAAACTGAGAACAAAAGTCAGAATAGAAAATGATGTAGCTTGTTAAATATTTTAAGGATTTCAGCTACAGGCGATAGGATGGATGGTAAAATCACTAAACAGTATTCTGAAAGATTTCAATCTCTTTGGGTCCCCAGGCCCCCTGCCAATATTGCAGATACCACGGTGTAGCTATGTTTCTTAAAAAGAAAGCTCTTATCCTGTAGAACATTGATGCTGGATGAATATGTGTACATGATGTACAAGTAGTCCCCCGTTTACAACTACAATTGAGTCCCAAAATTTCTGTTCTGACCAAGGCTTCCTGAGACTGTAATTAAGCACATGCTCTTGTTTTATTTCAACGCTGGGAATTATGTTGATTCCCAGCCCGTAACAACTCCCAAACAATCCCTCGAGATAAGCACCCACCTTTATCTTCTTTGAATTGCTGTCAACAACTAAAGTGCCAAATTAACTGTAAAAAAAACCATCCAAAGTACAAAGTCCACACAGAACTTCAAGGTTTAATCCGAACAGAGCAAACGACTTTGCTTCCTGAAAAAGTTTATCTACCTTTGTGTCTCCTTTATACCTTAGGGGAGGCGCAATCACCTCCAAGCCTTACTCCCGAGTCGCCCCCTTTGACTTTGCTGCTCTTGCCTTCCAGCAGCTCTGTGCACACGTGCACTGGGAACAGGCTCCCCTTCTTCCTCTGCCTTGTTGCTGCCAGACTCTGGAGGCTCCGGAGTCAGCACACAACTCCCAAATGGTCCTGGCCTCATATCTGCATCGGACGCAGGACCCTCGTCCAAGTCCTCTCCAGACTCCCGGACTGGTCCCCGTTCTTCCCCACTGTCCGATTCCGCTGCTGTCTAGACTGGCTGCTGGCAAACCACAACAATTTCCATGCCTGAGCAAAACTATTGTTAAGTGAGTTTTGCCCCATTTTACAAACTTTCTTGCCACAGTTGTTAAGCGAATCGCTGCAGTTGCTATGTTAACAACATAGTTGTTAAGTGAATCTGGTTTCCCCATTGACTTTGCTTGTCAGAAAGTCTCAAAAGGTGAGCACGTGGCCTGGGATACTGCAACCATCATAAATACATGCCAGTTGCCAAGTGGCTGAATTTTAATCGCATGACCATGGGGATGCTACAACAGGCATATGAAAAACAATCCTCTCTTTTTTTTTTCAGTGCTGTTGTTCTTTTGAATGGCCATTAACTGAATGGTGAATAGATTTTATTTCAGCGGTGGGAAAATAGATTTCACCCAGGAATGGAAAGATTAAATGGGGGTAGTCTGTTGTGGTTCCACTGTCTTGAAAAAGGGCCTAATGACTTTATAAGAAGGATTTCCCTACTGAAGTTCACCAAAGTAAATCTCGGTGAGATTGGAATCCAAAGCCTCTTATTAGCTGCTCAAACATTTTGAACTTTTGGGAAGTAATTTCTGGTGTCATACATGAGTTTAGAGGCACCTGTTTTTTTCCTATAACATGATGCTTGTGGATGGAAGAATTGAATTCTGCTGCTGTCACACATAATTTCATTCAATCTGTGTACTGTACAGTTGCATTTCACACTTTTAAAGGTGGGGGAATATATTATGATGGTGTGTTCCCCAGACTGAAGCATTTTTCTAATAGCCCTTGGTCTTGCATCCACACGTGCTTATGTTCAAATTATGGACATCTTTAGAGTTATGTTATGTTCTAATCCTGGACATCTTTAGAAAGCATTGCTTGGTCAAATGGCAGGTTCCTGGGATGAGGGAGCTCTTCTTCTATAGCAAATGTTGCCACAGAAATTAGAAATCTGTATGAGTATATGTAACATTTTCTTTTGTTTGGGAATTAGTGTGAATCTATTTTCATAAATGGTCGAGTCTTATCTTAATTTGATATCTGTGGGGCCAAAATATTAGTAGGTTCATGGTATAAACCTTGTAAGCATTTTAAAATGCATCTTCAAATTCTCTCCAAGCTCCTGACATCCTAGCTAATCATTGTATAGTTGATCAGCAATGTGGCAATCTAAGATGTGCAGTTTATATTCCAATAGAAATCTCACTGGCATAGGTGATGATGCTTACTGTTTCTACTCATGAAAACAGGAAGGATGGTTTACAGCAGGAGTCTCCAAACTTGGCAACTTTAAGACTTGTGTACTTCAATTTTCAGAATTCCCCAACCAACACGGGGAAGTCCAGTTCAAGTCCACAAATCTTTAAAAAGTTGCCAAATTTGGAGACCACTGGTTTACAGCAGCAACACTCATAATAGGATAAGTTTTTAAAAAGCCAGGATGGGACAGGTTTTTAAAAAGCCAGCAGCCTCTTGGCCTTTTTTGTCCCCTCCCCTTCACACATTGCTTGATTTCACGCACATAATGCTAAGCCAAACTCTGCCTTGATTATTTATGGAATGGCTTGTATGAACCCCATAAATTGAAGTTTGGAGGTTGTCTTCATCTCAGATGCTGGACACAAGCTGGAGCGTGCTTTTACATTTATGTACCCCTAATGAGTTTTCCAGAGGAATCCTGAGTTAATTTCAAGTTAAGGCAGACCCATAGAGATGTATTTTTAAAAAATCGTGTTCTTAGTAAATTATCAACATACAGTCTTAAAAATGTTGATGAAAATCCCAGAAGTTTCAAAAATTATTCTGAATTGGGGACATATTTGGTGATACCACTGAAGAACATTAACTAATGCAATAATGAGGTCCTAACTCTGAAGTTATGCTCAGCTTGGCAAAGGATTCTGTACTAAACTGGAATATTAAGGTGAAAACATCAGGCAACAGGAAAGCTTTCTCTGCCATTCTAGAAAGCCACTGTCAAGTTAGAAAAAGCTGATTGAGCTTCAGTGAACAAAGTTTGGTATAAGGTAACGTCCCATAATATTCAGAATTGTAATGCAATTTTGTTCCTCACAGACTGGAAAAAAACCACTCCTGAAAGCTGGCAAATATTTAAGTATTTGCAGTATATTTTTCTGGCATTCAACAAGTTTATTAACTCAGCAATCTTACAAGTAAGGCAAGAGAATTATTCCCTTGTGGTGGGATAAATGAAGGGAACTGAAGCTGAGAGAAGGGCAGCGGAACTCAATATTTAATTGAGGGAGATTTTGCTTTAGTTCATCTGACACAAAGCGTAGAAACTTCACAATCCCTCTTAGAATGAAAGAAATAATGTAATTGGGATAAGCATCAATTTAATTTGCTGTAAACTCTAAAATGGGGCAGAAATGATGCAACCCATTATAAATAAAGACAACAAATCAGGAAGGATCATAGCTTGTGTATGTGAGAGTGAATGAATGTGAATTGGATTTTTACAAAAGGGCAAGAGATAATTCCATTTAACACAGCAATGCTAAAAGAAAACAGATCTAACCAGTTATTTCACTATGTGCTCAGGACAAAAAATAGTGCATCTAAGTAAAAGAAAGACATTTTGTACAAAATGAATATGTCTTTTTTTACATTCTAGTGAGGCACATGAAATACAAACTTAGTTCTATTTTATATATACACATTTACAGTAGATTGTTTGGGTAGGGATGACAAAATAAAGACTGAATAAAAATAAAAGACCTCAAACATATAAAACCTGTGGCCAATAGCATGAATTTCAATAGACATGAATCCTGTACACGGTCAAGTAGAAGGCACAAAAATACTAAAATCATGCAAAATATTTTTTTTAAAAAAATCCAATCCTTACACATAACTACATTCTGTGCATTAAAGCGAAACTACAGTAGTGGTTCCCACAATAAAAAAATACAACAATTCTCAATTTCTATCAGTACCAAAACACATTGGAAATTGAACATAACTACTGCCTTGTAACATACAGATCAAAGGTCCTTATTTTTTTTCTGCCCTGCTCATCTTGAAAGACCAGCTCAGTAAGTTGGGGTGAGCAGCAGTGATAAATCTGCACTCAGGAATTGCGTAATTATAGCTCCGGTCTTTAATGGTGAAGTGTTCCTACCTTTTTCCTCTTATAATCTTACTTATGTACATGCATGGGCATTCTGAACAGGCCCTATCTGTAATTCTGAGAAATTGACATGCCACTGCAGAAGTACAAGGATAACACTGGATTAATTTTCCAAAAAAATGAACTCTTAAGATCAGAAAGCAGAAGAGGAACACACTCTTATTTTTCCTATCATCAACAAGGGGAAATCTAGGGTTCCAGGGAAGCTATACCGTTTTTTCTTGCCAGGAATACAATCACAGCCAAAGGGAACTCAACTTGACCCCATTTATCAGCCAAAGAGAGAGCTGCTACAAGGGCCTCACTTTGCCAGAAGCAAAACTCAGCTACAGGTGACCATTGCTTTGGGAACACAGTGAAGGAAATAATATGTACAGCCAATTCTTTGTCCTAAAGGGTTAAAATCCACCAATGCTATTTAAGCCAAAACACCAGAAGTTCAGATTTATAAAGTACAATTTTTCTTTGGCCTCTCTTTACTTTCTCTTCATATCCCATAACTCAACACTCAAAAGCCAAATAATGGTTGTCAAGGCTTCTATCATTATTTGAAAGCTAAAATTCAGAATCTGAGTTTTGGAATGAAGATTGATTGATCAATTCTTAAAAATTAAATATTTTGATAACATTTTAGTTTTCACTGAGAGATTCAAACTTGTGCCCTACTATACAGACTACTGGGTAGGAAATTTCTAGTTCATTTGTTGCTGAGATGAATAATGCTTTCCTGAAATTCACAATTTTAAATAATGGATATAGGAAAAGTGACTAAACCACCCATATCATAAATTCAAAATAGAACAGTACAAATGTATCCTGTTCAATGTAATATGCAACTGTATTCATGATTTCAATGAAAAATCAAACCTACAACTTTAGTGTAAGATCCATGGTGGTCAGGATGTCTTAAATCGTACTAAACGTTTTGAGAGTTAATTGTTTTAACCTCAGGGATTACTTGTTGTCCAGTGAACACTTGCTGCCTTTAGAGAAGCAGTTATTTTTTGCTTTCACAGAATACAAACTGGATCAAAGGCGCTCCAACAACTAGAAGTCGGGACGAGAACCAATAAGGGAGACAGAGAACCAAGTGTCTCAGGTTCAACCAGCTGTTCATCAACCTTAGCAGAATTTTGAAGTTCTATTAAAGCCTCTGGATCAAGTGAAAGCAAACTATTTTGTTACAACTATGTTTGAATTGTTACCTCAGTGCCTTGCCCCACTGTATAAATACACAAGAAATCCTGGCTCAATAGGCAAGCATACACTAGCATACTTTAATCTAAGCAAGCATAAACGTGTTTTGATGGTGTGATGAGAAATTATCTTGAGAAAACACTACTATTGGTAGGTTCCCATTGGTATATTCCATTTCTTAAAAGTTATTCCTATCTATTTAGCAGCCTCTCATACTCAGGTTTACACATGGATTAGGCTGACCTCCTTACAACATGCACCTTGCACTGGTGATCTACAAGAGCTGACAAATTATTCTGCCCAACAGACAGCAACAGAAATTTACTTAAGGAACCACTGCAAAAAAAAACCTTGCGTTCTTTTGATCGTAGAATGATAACTACTGTTTGAAGCACAACATTGAACTGGTCCCTACTGGGTAATCTCTAAAATATGTGGACTTCCAAAATTCTCAGCAGCTAACGTCTTTAAAAAAAATAAAACTTCCAGTGATGAAGATCCTGCAGTTCAATGGGAACATCTGTAACCCTTAAAATTAGGACACCTTTCCTAGCAAACAAGTGTTGTGCCTACAGATTAAACCCAATTTTAACTAGCAACATTCCTTTTCCTGTCCTGCATGGCATTTTTTTTTTTTTGTATAGCACAAATGTATCCATGCCTATTCAGAAATAGTGACTTTCTCTCAGCTAGAGGCCTATCAGCTATAGTTTCAATGTAATCCAGCAATCCACTCTGCTTCCATTTTCCACTACTAAAGCCACCCAACTCCTGCAGGCTTGACTCAGAGGCATGTAAATGAACCTGTCTCAAAATTTCCCATCATATTCAATCATAAGTAAACAGTTACCCTCTGTTAATGTGCTACAGCCCCTCCTTTTTGGCCTTATTACTGCATTACAACACAATGTTGTACTGCTGTCCAAACACGTTCATCAGAAGAGCTGATCAGCTTTTCAACAACTCCTGATCTGAAGTCATGCTGGAAAACATTACCATTTGTATAAACTTATGTCCAGGGAAATGAATTCTAAACAAGCTATGCTGACAAACAGGCCTCAGGTATCTGCATTTGTTTCTCCCAACCTGTTGTGCTAAAGCAAAGGCAGTCATATAATACAAACAGACAACTGGCTAAAGAAATTGTTGACCCCTAGAAACATCACCAAAACATTGCTTCACATTTCTATGGATCATCTATGAGCAAAGAAGAAAGCAAATGGGCACAAAGACTCATTTGAAGACAACCATGAATACTGTGTGGATTGAGGTTTGGTAGTAAAGAACTAATTTAATACAGTCCCCTGACTTGTAAGGGAATCAGGTTATCTAATCCAGCCGTTCTTGACTTGGTGCTTTTTGGGAGGACTGGAGGATAGCTTACTGCAAGATGCACCGTCCACCTAAGAGGCACCACATTGGGAAGGTTTTTCTCGATGCTTGCTAATCCAAACCAATTGAATCATTTGCAAGCAAGACTGCCTTTCTGCCACCTCTTGGAAACCACTTTACTCTCTTCGGTCAGAATTACTCCCGTGTTTCATATAAAGCCCTTCCTTCAGTTTCTATCCATCCGCCTCTTCACTTCACCTAACTCGTGGAGATTTTTTTTCCCCTCTCTGTCAGAACTTCTCCCCCTCAATCTTCCCCAAAGTCAACATGCCTAATTCTTTCAGCTTTCAAGAACTTTCAGATACATTTTGCTTCCTGCCCTGTCCACTCAACTGACGAAGTCATCAACTCTCACCATTAAAATATCAGCAGCATAAACCAAAAACAAGCTGGAGTAAGTAGCCTTAACCTCACTCTTGAAAGGCAACCTGTCAAAACATAAATTCTCCAGAGGTCTGTGGTTGCTACATAAAGCATCACCTCCCTTTCCAAGCAGAGAAAAGAAGCATTGCTGCAGTTTGCAGTGGGTGGATATTGTAGGGGGGGGAAAGGGTGTGTGTGTGTGTGTGTGTGTGGTTCCTTCAGGAGCAGGATTCCTTCCAGCCTATGCAAAGGATTGGCAAATCCTGCTGGGAAAAGAATGTGGGATTCTCCTGTATTTGATCATGACTGGACTACTTAAAAAGAAGGTAGTGATGCAATGGATTCAGTTTCATTCTCACCAAACGCAGAAGATCAAAAGCAAAGGAGGCATTAGAAGAAGCTTAAATGTTGAATAAAAAGTAGGCTCTAGCAAGTACCACCTTGCATTAACTATTAGCTCTCTTTGCTACTAATTAGAAAACACAGCCAATAGAGACAAGGCTCTCTGCCCCCCCTCCCCAGTTTTTCCCGATGAGATTCATACTTATGCAGAAACACACTTGCTTGGATGTGAACTACTAAAGCACAACATCATTTTAGAGTTTATATACCATCCTGACACATAATTTGGAAATGGGGTTTCAATGCTTAGAAGCTTCAGCTGTTACAGTAATCTCAGATTCAATCTTTTTATTCTTTGAAGAGACTCTCAAATTTTACTCAGGACACCCCCAGGGGGGAAAAAAAGACAGCTTCATTTGAACTGTGCTTATGGAAGAAAATAATACATACGAACCAATAGAGGGTTTGTTTTTTTATGTTACACAGAGCATGCAGTTCCCTTTCGCATGTGATGGGAAAGGCCATCTTGGGGCTTCCTAGATATTTTTAGGCTACAGATCGCATCACACTTGGACACCACCTATATGGAACAGGACTTCTGGAACCGTAATACAGATATCCAGGGAGGATATCTTGTCCCTACCTTTGGTGTGGGAAGACCTTGAAGCCTGCACACAGGTCATTATAGAATAACACACTCCTCTTCTCTCACATGCATGTGACTGCACATATATCCATGCACCTGAATGGTTACTGTAATGCACATAAAGACTTTATCCTGTTTTTTTTTTGTCTTTTTATCAAAACACATCTCAGATGTGGAACAATCTTTAAGTAAAAAGGACAAAACTCATTTTCGCCATGGTCCCTGCACAAACCCTCACTTAACTTTACAGATTTCCTTACAGCTCGCCTAGGTGGCGATATACAAAAGACCAAATGGTCTTCCCACACCAAAGGTAGGCACAAGATATATCCTCATGAGGATTTGCTCTTAAAATGAATGCCTATGTTACAGAAGCAAAATTGAAAAGAAAAAGGGAGGAGGAGGAGGAGGAGATGGTGACAGTGATGATAACAAGGGCAAGAGACGTGAAGAGCCTGAATCGATGTGAGAATATTTATTGATGGCACAAAGTGAGCTGAGTATTTTCCTGTAAGTGCAGGAAGCTGTGATGCTTGATGAAGTCGTTTCTGGCTTTTCTGCCCTAATCACCCCCCAGTGGAGCAGGCAAAACTTTTCAGTGAAACTCCAACATTGCATCAAATAAATATTAACGTGTATAAACAAACACCTTTTCCCTAAACCTGTAAAAGAACCATTTAAAATGTTGCCTTGCCTCTAAGAACAGGGTCGGGGTCACCCATGAGTGCCTAAAAAAAATCTTTCTCCACTTCTTAACTGCTTTAATTAGCAGATGGGGCTTTTGCAAATGCTGACATGAAGCAATATAAAACAAAGTGATTTAAAAACAATTGGTTTCTATTTGTTACAGTGGAAGCCCTGAATTCTCATCAATGAACAAACCCTTTGTGTGGAACCAAATAGCTACCTGAAACCACAACTTTTAATGCTGCTGCTGAAGCTGAAATAGGGCTGGGACTATTTTGTAACCCCGATGCATCTCACATTTACAATCCCAGTTCTCTCACCACTAAGTCCTTGGTGATCTTGCGATAAAATCCAAAGCCAGAAAAAGCACCTCCGGAATAGTCAAGTTCAAGGAAATAAGGAACCTCAAGACCCATTGTTTTCTTGGGTAGCCCAGATTCCCCTGGAATACAACAGACTGGTTATCATCCCAAAAGATTCCTAGCCAATTGGGTTTGAGATGTATAAACTGCTTTCTGATTAAAACAGCTCAGGTTCAAGCAGAAACCTGTAACTTTTCTGGAATACCCATTTTGCATCATACATACATTCCGATCCAAGGAGAGGACTTCAGAAACATAATTTGGGCAAAAGTTAAAACAACACAGCCAGCAGCACCAGTGAGAATTCAACCTGATAATACAAGGTATTTCTGAGATGATGACAGGGAGGCAATTCATAAGACATAAACACTCAGTATTGTTTGTAGGCTAGGAAAAGGCCTGGCACCAGTTAGTTTCCATCGTGTTTTATCTTTTCATCTAGAGGTAGTATCATTTTTTTTTTCTGTCCAGTATCTAAAACAGTGCAAATCCAGTTTCGTGATTTTTCGGTTATAATCCCTAGCATCCCCACAGAGAAAAGGGCATGGAAAATGGATCGATGGAAATTATGAGTCACAAAATATACTAAGCTCATATAAACACGCCCTGTGTATCCACACAAGTTTTTTTTTCCTATTTATATATATATATAATATATATATGTGTGTATGTGTGTGTGTGTGTTTGTGTTTTGCATGTCCTGTGTATTGAGAGAGTTATATATATGTATATATTTATAAGTTCATATACACTGGCAAATAGAGATACTTGAATCTAAAGGCATCTATCTGCCCACCTCCCTTCCCTTCCCAATCTTCAATTCTTTATTTCCAGGATGGACGGATTGTGGTCTAGGATGGCCAGGATGATCTTGTCCATATATTGGCGCAATCTGTAGTTGATCTCCTCCTGTTCTTTGAGGGCTTCCATGAGCTGAAATGAAAAAAAGAACTAGATTAAGACATCCTCTGGAGTCACAACAATAACCGAGATCCTCTGTGTCCATTTTACTAGAGTGCTCCCGAACTTCAAAAGTTGTTTTCAGCATATTTTTCTTTCCAGATTATTTTAATGGTGATTCATTTGGATGGATGGAAGAAGGGTGGCTAATTGTTCACCCTCGTTCTACAAATTGTTGAAGCCCCAATGAATTCAACACTACGTTTTCAATCAGAAGCATCACCTCATCCTTGTGCCTCTGTTAATTTATGCTCTTTTATGAAGAAACTCATTGGACGCCACTGAGAATCAATTTATCCTTTGGTATGAATCTCAGTTCTTGAGCGTGTAAGATGGATACAAACTCAGTCATCTGTCTTCTCACAGGGGGAAAAAAAACACCCTAATGTGCTCTAAATCTTTTGGACAACTCGTAGAATTTTGCCACTGGTCATTGCCTTTGAGCTATTAGGGGTTGGTGCATACATTTATTAAGGTGGAAGCTGTGGCTAGGAGGACCTTTGCTCACTTTGTGACAGTTGTACCCATGCCTAGATCTGCAGATCCTGCTTGTAGTCATGCTTGCCCTAGTCAATTCCAGATTGAACTACTGCAATATGCTCCCCATGGGGTTGTCTTTAAAGAGTGCCCAGCTTCAGTTGGTGCAGAATGCAGGGGTGCAGCAGTTATATGCGTTCCCAGAGTAGCACATATGACACCTCGGCTCCACAAGATGCATTGGTTACCATGAGCTTATCAACATGCTCAACATGGGCTCTGCTCCTCTCCGAGAGTTAAAATGCCAAGGATCGTTCACTTCTTTTAAAATGAGAAACTTCTTTTAAGATGAGAAATTTGATAACATTACTTTCCATACCACACCCAGAGTAGCTTTGGCAAACACAATTTATGCTTTATAAATACACAGTTGCCCAGCAACATCTTCAAACTACAGTATTTGATAACAAATCTCACAATCTTTGCTCAAGATTTACTTACATAACAAAGTCTGAACCAGATTTTTTTTTTAAATAAAGGCATCGGGAATAACTTTCTGAATGTGTAATGGTCTTGCTGCACAAAGGACAGAAAGCTAAATCAAAAAGCTGTGAGCTAAATCAATTGAGACTGGAAATGAAATACTGGGGGAGGAAAAAAAAAGAGGAGACAGGTTGAAGGGAAGGCAGGATAACAGAACTCAATGGTATCTAATTCTCAATTGTTGCATTTTTGTATCTCTTTGCTGCCATCCAGTGGTCATACAGATTTCTACAGCCCAGGTCTGGTAGCCTTAAGATTCAGGAAATTCTCCTGAACAGTTCAATTCCTGTAGTGGTGCCCAGAAACAATTTTCAATGAAAAATAACTTTTGTTGTATAAAAGTACAACAGAAGAGAAATAAAAAAAGTCAAGAATTTTAGCCAATTCTGATGCCTTAGTGCCTCTGTATGCTGATGTCATCCAGGCTAAATGAAAATAAAATATCCCAAAGCAAATATGGCACTTCTAAACCATGATTTTCAAATGTCAGAGTTCCCCACCAAGTTAGGTTTTTAATTGCTGAAAGATATTTTGCCAGCCCAGTCATTTAATTAGTTGTAAAGAGATTGCTACTGGTCCCTTTACCTCATCCCTGGAGGCAGAGTCAATCTCAGCTGCCAGTGACTGGGCTTTTGTCTGCGTTGCGAAAAGGTTCTTAGCTTCATAAAGGCTGAGGCTAAGGATTTGTCCATTGAGGTCATCATTCTGGTCATGGAGTTTTTGATTCTCCTGTTGAGAGAGGAAGGAAAAAATTAAGTAATTAAGGCACCTGATTAGAGCGAGTTCTAGTCCTGCCTGAAGCACAAAGCTAGTTGGGTAATCTTGGGCCAGTTTCTCTCTGGGTCTACGACAACTCACCACAGCCAACTTGCCATGACTAACTTGCCACGGCAAACTCACCGTGGGACAAGAGTTACACTAATATCAAAGAAATAGTGGAATAGAAACATTAAAGAGAGGGTGCCAAAGGAGGGACAAAATGAAATGTGAATGACAAAAATTAAAATATTTTTTTAAAAAAATGATTTTAAATAATTAAATTGAATTGTTGAATTGTCCTGTGGCGAGTTGGACCTAGTGAGCTGGCCATGATAAATTGGCCATGGCGAGTTGTCCCATTCTGCCTTAAGAAGCAGGCAAGCACAAATCACTTCTAAAATCTTGCCAAGGAAGCTGAAGGACCCTGTCCAGGCAATCACCAAGACTGGAAGACTGACTTGAAGGCATTTGCACAGACGCGCACACAGACGCGGGATTCAACCAGTGTAATAGTCGGTTCGGTGAGCGCGCGCTTTGCTATTGCTATTTGTAATCCCAGACTATCAAAAGCTCAAGGGGAGTTGAGGAATCCTTGGGCTTCCTACTGCTTAGCTGCTTTGGAGAGAGAAGGTTGCTCCCTCCTCCTTCAGCCCCAGCTGTACCTCACCTGTTTTAAACGTTTAATTTCATGTTCCATTTCCATTTCTCTCGTCTTGGCGTTGAATTCACTCAAGCTGGAAGAGCTTCTTCCTCGGCCGGGACGCTCACAATCAAGCTTGTACAGCTGAAGGTGTTCCAGCTCCTTTCTCAGATCCTCAATGAGCTGCAGAAAAAGGCAGGACACAATGAGCCGTTGTGGCTAGGAGGACATCAGGATAATCTGGGGTACAAAGCCAATTCTGTCCCTCTGATTAAAATTAAGATCTAATGTAGGGACATGAAGAGTCTTAGGAGTGTTCTCAGCTTCAGTGCTCACCTTTTGTTGAGATACAGGTAGTCCTCAACTCACAACAGTTCATTTCGTGACCATTCAAAGTTACAACGGCACTTAAAAAACTGACTTGACCGTTGTTCACGCTTACAACTATTGCAGCATCCCCATGGTCACATGATCAGAATTTGGATGTTTGGCGACTGGCTCATATTTATACAGTGTCCCGGGGTCAAGTTACCTTCTGTGACAAGCAAATTCAATCAGGAAGCCAGATTCACTTAACAACTGTGTTACTAACTTAGCTGCAGTGATTCACTTAAGAACTGTGGCAAGAAAGGTCGTAAAACAGGGCAAAACTCACTTAAGAACTTTCTCACTTAGCAACAGAAATTTGGGGTTCAATTGTGGTTGTAAGTGGAGGACTACCTGTACTAGTTATGATGGTACTAGTTATGACGGTACCTGAACAAAAATTGTAATGGTTGTTCCTATGCTGGCAACCTGTTCAGGCTATTGAAATGACCTGTGTCATGCCCCTGTTGGAATCTGATTCTGAGGGGGAGGTAGAGCAGCTGACAGGGAGTGGCAGTGTGGCTCCAGAGGCTGTAGAAGAAATTGGGGAAGGGCACAGTCTGGCTGCGCCTTCAGAGGAAGACCCAGGGCCACCTCCTTTTCATCCAGATGGACTCGCATCTGGCTGGCAAACTGTACTCAACGAGTAGTCCTTAATGGGTCTAAGTCTGCATGGAGGGAAGTAAGCAGTGGGGTGCCACAAGGTTCCGTCTTAGGCCCAGTACTCTTCAATATCTTCATTAACGATTTAGATGAATAAACGATGAACGATTTAGGGAATAGAAGGGGAACTTACCAAATTTGCAGATGATACTAAGCTGGCAGGAATAGCTAACACCCAAGAAGATAGGCTCAAGATCCAGAGGAATCTTGACAGACTAGAACACTGGGCCATATCTAACAAAATGAAATTCAATGTAGAGAAAAGTAAAGTCCTACACTTAGGCAAGAAAAAACAAAAGTACATATATAGACTGGGTGAAACCAGGCTCAATAGCAGTAACTGTGAGAGGGATCTTGGAGTCTTAGTGGACAACCAGCTAAATATGAGCCAGCAGTGTGCAGCAGCAGCCAAAAAAGCTAATGCAATTCTAAGTTGTATTAACAGAGGGATACAGTCAAGATCAAGGGAAGTACTAATACCACTCTATAAAGCCTTAGTAAGACCACATCTAGAGTACTGCATCCAGTTTTGTTCACCACATTATAAAAAAGATGTTGAGACTCTAGAAAAAGTACAGAGAAGAGCAACCAGGATGATTAGGGGACTGGAGGCTAAAACATACAACGAACAGTTACAGGAACTGGGCTTAGCTAGTCTAGTAAAGAGAAGGACCAGGGGAGACACGATAGCGGTCTTCCAATATTTGAGGGGCTGCCACAGAGAGAAAGGGGTCAAGCTATTTCTAAAGCGCCTGTAGGCCAGACAAGGAATAATGGATGGAAACTGAACAAGGAGAGATTTAACCTGGAAATAAGAAGAAACTTTCTGACAGTGAGAACAATCAAACAATGGAATAGCTTGCCTTCGGAAGTTGTGGGAGCGCCATCACTTGAGACTTTCAAGAAAAGATTGGACTGCCATTTGTCAGAAATGGTGTAGGATCTCCCTCTTGGGTGGGGGGTTGGACTAGATGGCCTACAAGGTCCCTTCCAACTCTGATCTGTTAGATCCAGATGGATCTTGACAGACTAGAACACTGGGTCATATCTAACAAAATGAAACTCAATGTAGAAAAAAGTAAACTTAGGCAAGAAAAACCAAAAGTACACATATAGACTGGATGAAACCAGGCTCAATAGCAGTAACTGTGAGAGGGATCTTGGAGTCTTAGTGGACAACCAGCTAAATATGAGCCAGCAGTGTGCAGCAGCAGCCGCCAAAAAAGCTAATGCAATCCTAAGTTGTATTAACAGAGGGATACAATCAAGATCATGGGAGGTACTAATACCACTCTATAAAGCCTTAGTAAGACCACACCTAGAGTACTGCATCCAGTTTTGTTCACCACATTACAAAAAAGATGTTGAGACACTAGAAAAAGTACAGAGAAGAGCAACCAAGATGATTAGGGGACTGGAGACTAAAACATACGAAGAACAGTTACAGGAACTGGGCTTGGCTAGTCTAGTAAAGAGAAGGACCAGGGGAGACATGATAGTGGTCTTCCAATATTTGAGGGGCTGCCACAGAGAGGAAGGGGTCAAGCTATTTTCTAAAGCGCCTGTAGGCCAGACAAGGAATAATGGATGGAAACTGAACAAGGAGAGATTTAACCTGGAAATAAGAAGAAACTTTCTGACAGTGAGAACAATCAAACAATGGAATAGCTTGCCCTCAGAATTTGTGGGAGCGCCATCACTTGAGACTTTCAATAAGAGATTGGACTGCTATTTGTCAGAAATGGTGTAGGGTCTCCCGCTTGGGCGGGGGTTGGACTAGATGACTACAAGGTCCCTTCCAACTCTGATTATCTGTTATCTGTTATCCTAGGACACGCAGGGAGGAACGGAGAAAGGAGCAACGTGAATTACATGGTTTATGGGGGAGGAAAGGGCCCTGACTCCCTTCATTAGCTGCAGCTGAGAAAACAGGATTTAAAAAGGGCGTTTGCGCACAGCACCTTGCTGGAAGCAAAGCGTGAATTATTTTTGTTTGTCAAGTCTAATCTGGGTTCCTGAGTCCTCCCAACTGTGTGTGTGTCGTTATCTGTTGAAGTCTGCAATTCCTTATTCTGACCTGTCTCATTAATTGCCGCAGCATGATTTGTGTTGGTTTTTATTTATAATCTATATGTACTTTGGGTTCAGACTGAATTTCTTCCCTTTAAAAAACTGTTCCTGGGAGTTTTTTCTCCAGCCGATGATAACTGGACATTGGGGGCCAAGTTGGAGGTATTAAAGGGACTTTACCTACTTTTGTGACTTTGTTGCTTTTGTGCCACGCCCCGGGTCATCACAATTTGGAAAATTCAGTTAGTTCAAAACAGGGCACAGCTAGCTTGCTTACAGAGACTAGTTCAGTACTACCATGGAAGTAGCTGTCAGTCTACTTCTAGACCTTCTATAATCTATTCCTATTAACCTTTAAACCCCTAACTGACTTATTGAAGTAAATGTTCTGACTTTAAGTCATTTAGAGGTTTATAGGTTAACATAATCCAGGTTATCTATCTGGAGCCTGGATTTTCTCCTGAGGCCTTTTTTCAGCTTCCTGTGTTCAACGAGGCAAGATGAGTGGCAATCGGTGATGGAGTTTGCATTATGCAGTTTGCATAGTGGAGTTTGCTTTAAGAATCTTTACTGTACAGGTTTTACACCTTTAATGTTTTATGGCTATTTTGTTTTTATTATATGTTCCATTTATTGCCATTGATTTTGCTGCTTCTGATTTTTATCTTATCTCTTGTATCGTTCTCTACATAAGATTTCCCATTTTTATATTGCTTCAGGCAGCTTCTACACAGACTTATTTTGTATTCTTTTTCATCTGCTCTTTTATAGAGGTTGATTTGGTGTATGTTTTAAACAATGGTACATCATTCAGAGGACATCTGCTATTGGACAGTATTAGAAATATTGCCTAATTTTTTTCATTACAGGAAAAGGCATTATAAGACAAGAGAAGTAAAATAGTCACAAAAATCAAGGCTGGAAAGAAAAAAAAACCTCAAGGACAGTATTTTACAGGTCTTTTTCTAAGCCTAAAGGCTGTCTATAGAAACGTCATAACAGAGTGCATACAAGGAACAATTTCAATTTCAATCAATTTCAATTTCAGTCAATTCAAGTTTCAACTTTCCAGATTTATCACCATGAAACCACCATGGCATCCTCTGGGAATAATCACTATAGCACATCTAAAAGGTTTTTAGGAATGCATTTTTGAAAACAGTTGCTAGCCAGCCATTATTCCTAACAACCCCTGCTTCAGTGACACAAGGCAAACCACCATGCAGTTTTTGAAACCACATTTTGTTTTTATTTTGAAAACACGATTTTGTTTAATCTTGGTATAAAACATCAGCATCAAGAAAGGACATGGAAGACGTACTAGTTGTGTGCCACCAAAATTTTTACCAACCTCCTGAGTGGCTTCTCTCTCCTTGTTAAATTCCAGCCGGTTCTGCCTCAATTTGTCCATCATCCTTTTGTACAAATCCATTTCATCTTTCAACCTCAGACTGGTATCTTCTAATCTGTCAGACATTCGCTGCTTCTCCTGATGAATGTGAAAAGAAGGTTACAAACTGCCAGCCATTCTAATGGGAGTTTTCAGGGTATAGGAAACTATCATTTCAGGGACTTGATGGAAGAAATTTGCATAGGCATGTAGAAAACCATCATGGTAGGTTAGAATCTTTCAGGAAAATAGGCTATTTTTTTTTTCAAAAAAAAATAAAAAATCTGGGTATGTTCAACGTTTGGTACTTTATGAAGAGAAACATGATTAAGCCATGCAATCGGTTGCTCAGCCCTCAGATTATCACTTCAGTTCATGGAATAAGTTAGTTTTGGATCTGCAGAACAAGACAGACAATGGTTGGCTGTTTTCTAAATGTCAACGCGACTGCTATATTGCCTTTTGTTTTTTAAACTGTATACCTCTTTCTCTTTGAAGATCTTGCCAGCTCTGTCCAACTATAACTTTTTTACTGTTCCCCTTGTTTTTTCATGTTTTGCAATTTCATCATTCCCTCAAACTACCTGAACATACTATTTACTTTTTTTCTCTATTTCTTCATTCTATGTTCATTCTTGATACTACCTCTTCTAGTTTTACCACACATTCTTCTTAAGTCATTCCCCGTGCAATCAATTCTCAATTCTGTACAAGGCGAACAGAAATGTTTTTACACATAACCATTTTGGCTTCCTTTGACTGACCTACAGTCATCCCTTGCAAGAAAGACCATATCCTAACTCTTAATGTAAATGTAAAAGTTTCCATACTGCCAATCTGTGTGTCAGTTGCAGCCAATTCAAACAACTGACCAGACAAAAGATAACAATACTATATCTAAGGGCTGCTTCCTCAAGGTATTTCTGATAACCTATTTGTCTCCTATGATTGCTTCTACTTAGAAATCCCCTTTCCTGGTTTTCTGGTCAGACATGTTGGCTCCACTAGCATCAGTCCTGCTCAGGTAACATCATTAAAAAAAAAACATGCAAGATTGAAAGCATTTTAAAAGCCCAGAACCCTACTAAACAACTCTGCCTCATTTTATTATTCTTGTCTTACCCTATCAATGTAGAAGGACTAAAGGCCAAGATTTTTATACTGTTTTGTATACGTTTTGCTTCCACAGCCTGATCACAGCAGTACTGCTGCAATGGAATGCTATGTCTTGACCTACAAACCAGTCCACCCAGATAATTAAAAATCAAGCAGGCTAGGCTGAGACTACAGGCTGGCTTGGAATAGGGGGATTATATTAGCAAACATGTGCAAACTCTGTTACCTCGTCCAGTTTCTCAGTGTGTGATTTCAGTCGTAGGACAGTAGTTTTGAGCTCACAGTTTTCCTCTTCCAGTTGCTGAACCCTGAAGGTTAAGGCAGAAGTTTGGTAATTGAATGTCTAAGGAAAAAAAGCTGTTTATCTGTTCTGCTAGGATACATCTCAGTTTGATTCACCATAAGAAAAGTCAATGGTAAAAGCAACCACATATCAATTCTTGAAAGTACTCAAGTTTCTTAATAACTGGTGAATTTTTGAAAACATAATTTTCTCATATTCTAAGATGCATCAAATAATTGAAGAAATCAATCTTCTTAAGGGCTTAGTTTATACTCCCTTTCCCTTGCTTGGGTATGCATTCCCAGCCATCCCCAGAAATATGAATACCCAGAAAAAATGAACATGTGATGATCACACATGTAGCAAACTGAAAAACCCAATGAGAGGCTGTATAGTTTAGGATTATTCAGATGGATAGCATTGGATATAGTTTAGGATTAATAAAATGGGCAGCATTGATAGTGAGATGAGAAACATATAAATTTAATACATAAAGAAAAATTAAGGGGGGGAGGACGGAGTTTCTACTCTTCATTCAGCCATAAATCTAAAAGCAGTCACTCTTATCTCTGCCTAATCTGGAGTAAAAAAAAAAAATCACCCAATTGATGTTACCAATAGGGATGGCTATCATTATGTGTAGGATGCTTCTCCATTCCCTGTAGTCATATTTATATTTAATTATTTTAATAGTTTTTTAGACTTGATTGTTTTATTGCACACTGCACAGAATCACCCTTGTGAAGATGAGTGGCTATGTAAATTTGATAAATTATTGCTCTGAGTATCTGGAAAGGAGTGGGCTTCTTAGCCACTGCATGGTGTAAAACAGTGGTTCCCAACCTTTTTTTCGCCCCGCACCCCTAAAGAAATTTTACTTGAACCTCGCACCCCCTGGAATAAAAATGCCAACACAGAGCCAATATCCTATTATTTACCTGGACTTTTCTCGCACCCCCTGGAATATCGTCTCGCACCCCCAGGGGGTTCGAGCACCCCAGGTTGGGAACCCCTGGTGTAAAAGGAGAAACCATGGCAAGTGTGCATGTCATGGAACCACTCTTAATCTGAGATAGAGGGGGCGGGTGGGAATCAAGAAGCATTCTGGCCACTTCGAGACAAAGCCAAAGGTAGTTTAAAACAGGAGTGGGCTGTTACCGTGTGTTTAGCAGCTCAATCTCCGTGCTCTTCTCCTTCTCATATTTGCTGTAGGCTTCTCTGTGCCTCTTGATCTCTTCTTCCAGGGTCTGCTGAGCTGAAGTCTCCTGGTCTTTCAGCAGTTCTTCCAACTCATGCACTCTGGTGTAATTAAGCCACATAGATTTCACTCAGTTTGGTAGCAGCATATCAGAATGACTTTAGCTATCCCACTGGATTTAGCATTTCCTACGAAGGTGGTTTTCTTCTTTATATGGCCTTCTCCAATTTCCTGCCACAGATACAGCCCCTTGCTGAGCATTCATGACACCCTGTTTACTAACATTTCTGCAAATAATAGGTCCTCCCATTCCCAAGCCTCTGAAACAACAGTCCAAAAACGTTTAGTTCTCTCTCTTCTGATGACATCACTACATCACTTGAGACCTCTTGCAAAGACCTAGAAGGCCCCCAAACTCTAAATTGCCCCACTCCCTCAATGGAAAACACTGACCTGATATGATGTTTTGACACATTAAACTACCAAATACATCTAGAAAATATCCTTCTCTTTCTTGCACGGAAAAAATAAAAATAAAACATTGCTTCTTTTGTCCACCATAATGCATGTTCACTAGCCTTTCTCTCTTGAGAGCACCTTCTCTGTTAATCCAGAGGACCAAAGAAAAACATTATTGAAGAAGACTTTCTCTCCAGTTTATAGGCAGTCCTTGATTTACAACAATTTGTTTAGTAACCATTCAAAATTACAACGGCATTGAAAAAGTGACTTATGGCTGTTTTTCACACTTATGACTGTTGCAGCATCTCCACGGTCACATAATCAAAATTCAGGCACTTGGCAACTGATCCATATTTATGACCGTTGCAGGGTCCTAGGGTCCTGTGATCCCCTTTTGCAACCTTCTGCAAGCAAAGTCAATGGGGAAGCCAGATTCACTTAATATCCACGTTACTAACTTAACTGCAGTGATTCACTGCGACTTAACTGTGGCAAATAAAGTCTTAAAATTCAATTAGCTGTCTCATTTAACATCAGACATTTTGGGCTCAACTTTAGTTGTACATCAAAGACTACCTGTATAACGTTGCCCCGTTTTCAAGCAATCGTGATTCAAGTCAGAAACTTTTTCATTTTCGAAAGCAGATGGGAAATAAGTTAAAACTGGAGAATTCTAATGAGAGCTACCAGTTTCTGCAAACTGGCAAAAGGCCAGGGTGGGTAGCAGATTAAATTACCTGTGAACAAGCTGTGTATTCTCCTGCTTCAATTTGCTCTTCATGTCCCCGTTTGTTACAGTATCATTTTCCAGCTCTGTCACTTTTTTTTCTAAGTAAGTCACCTACAAAAGAAAATAGGATGTGAGCTGGTTAAGCCCCTAGGAAATTAAGGAGAGGAGAATGGTCAGAATGGGTCTCATCCATTCCTTTAGTATCAGACTATCTTTCTAGACAAACTTTGCATAATTCTTGCATTCTTCCATCTTTGATCTAATTAAATCAATTATAAGTTTTCATACAAATTAAGCCTAGATTATACAAGTACAGATTTCCCAGACTTCCTCACCAGATAATTTAATAATTCCTCACCAGATAATTCAATGATTCAAATATGTGCTTGCAACTGCAACTCACAGAGTTTTTGTATTGATCTAGATCAGTGATAGCAATCCTTGGTGTGTCAAAAGTCTGGAAAATGCCTTCATTCTTTCTCTTTTGTACATCAACCAATTCCTCAGTGTTGTTTTTTTCTTAAGTGGGATGCAGGACAGCTTACCTTTTCGGTGATATCATTGTCACACGAATCTATGCTGTCTCTGAATAGATCCTCCGTGCTGCCATTACTACTGCTGAAGTTGCTGTTGTGAAAAAGCTGCCTGTAAAGAAAAGATTAAAGACCCTTTGGAAAACACCTGTTGCAAAAAGGATTCCAGAACATGATTTCATTGGGATTTCTGCCTTTAGAAGGATAGGGTGGTCTGAATGGTCTCAACTCTGTAATTCAGGAGGAGGGGGGAAGCTTCCAGTGTTGACAAACAACTGAAAGTGTCACTAGCATCCAGGGCAAATATTTCATATTATGTAATTCTAAAATGATTTTTTTTTAAATAAGGGCAGGGATGTGAACTTGCAGAGAGTGAATGGTCCAAGGTGACCCAGCTGGCTTTCATGCCTAAGGCGAGACCTGAACTCATAGCCTCCCACTCTCTAGCCTGGTGCCTTAAGCACTAGACCAAGTTGGCTGTCCTGAGAGTAGGGTGTAGGGCCCCCCTCACTGCATTCTGCCCACTTTGTACAGTGCTGAGATATCCTTTATTTTTACAGTGGAAGGAAAGAAAATGCAAATGCAAAATCATGATAATTGAACCACAGCTGTCTTAATTGCTTATCTACTCACTGAGGATTTTTTTTCCCTCAAGGAGAAGATTCTTCCCCCCCTCTCTCTTCCCAGGCAACATCTCATAGAACAGAGGTCGTGCCCAGTCCATGGACCGGCACTGGGCCGCAGCATGCCAGCAACCGGTCTGCGCAAATAAGCAAAGCCCAATCTGCGGGATGCAGGCAGCATGCAAAACCACACCCATCCAGTCCGCAGAAAACCCTCTCTCCTTGGAACCTGTCCCTGGTACCCAAAAAGTTGAGGGCCACTGTCATAAAACACAAAAAACTAAATTTGCTTAGCTTCTGCCATTTTAGTTCTGATATGATGAAGTACCTTGAGACAGAAAAATGTTGCCCTTTACTACAAGTCAAAAAGTGCCCTGATACAAACCATGTGGCTCTTCCTTCCCCATGGAATTGTCTAAATGTGCTTGCAGCTGTAAATGGTTAGATTTGATAATAATCTACTATGTCTCTTACCTGCCAAAAGCTGTACTAGAGATCTTTCTGTTGGGGCTGGAATAAAAAAAAAATAGATGCAAGAGATTTTAATTGCAATAAATGTTCCCATTCCAATAACTTTGGAATATAGCTGAGTCATTAAAACATAATAAAACTACAACTTCAAACCCTTGTATTAGGACAGCAAGCCCACAGAATTTGATGAGTAGGCTCCTGGATCCGGTATGGAGGCCTGTACCACAGTTATCTGCTCACAATTAGACCCTTTTTACACCAGGCTGGGGTAAGCAGCATTTAAAAGATTGAGAGTTATCACTCAGCTTCCAGACCTTATGAAAGGACAAAGAAGGCCACTTAGTGATGCTTTAATAACACATCAGAAGTGATGTGACCAACCCCTTTTCGGTTCAGTTTTTTTATTTTGGAGGAGTTCAAAATGGGGTGGCAATCTTGAAATCGCTTAAAACCTTTTAAAATGCCCCCAAAATGCAACACTATACTGGGAGTAGGTCCCAATTGGCATGTTGTGGGGAGCTGCACCATGTTCAGTTTCCCCCATTGTCCATTTCTGAGAACAGGTAGCTACTGGGTAACTTCAAGATGTAGTATAGATTGATTGTGCTGTATCTATATAAGAAGGGCCTTGCCTGATCAGTCCAAATGTGTATCTAATCCAGCATCCTGGGCCCTTCCAGTTTTTTCTGGAAGCTGACAAACATCACTTCACTAATATCCTGCCACTCTTGCTTCCCAGATCCTCAAGCACTCGAGTAATTATATTTTTGCTTCTGAAAACATGTTCCCTTATAACTGATTGTCACGGATGATTTTATCCTCCATGATTTTTATTCTCTTTTAAAACTATTCTCATTAATTACCATCATCATAACATATAGCAGTGACTTTGATAATTAATGTGCAAAGCAACTTTTAAAAAAATTATCAACGGAGTAAATACATTCATCATTGAAAAGCACTGAACAACGAGAGCAACTTTTATATGTTAAATCTGTTACATATAGTTCCATGGCGATTAAAAAAAACTTGGGATTAACTGATTTCTGAAATGAAAAGTTAAAACTGCCAAAAGAGATTTGGAATCTTTCTTTAATTTGGGGGGGGGGGGGGGGGGGGGGGGGGGTTTTGTATATTGAGATGTGCATTTTATCATTGTATTCTTCTTTTATTTTCATTTTCATTTTTGTTATTGTTAGCTACCAAGTTCACTGTCCTTTTGGATGGAAAGATGGGTGCAAGATAAATTCTGAGGAAGAAGGGTAGATAAAAAAAATATGAAATATAAATAAATACATATATAAAAACCAACACTTGGAAGGGTTTTACTTGATGAAACTAAGAATAATGGCAGGAATGGTGCAATTCATAGGCTGGTGGCAAAGTAACCAAAACAGAACCATTCTGAAAATAAATCTCAGTATAAAATGGAAGAAGAAAAAGAGCCAACAAGGCAGGCCCTGTTCCACTATGGGGAGTGGGGAGAAACTAATGTTCTTTCTGTCAGTAAATGATCAGAGTTAATCCATAAATGGGAATCTCAAATAATCAGAATCTTCCAGGCTCAGACTGAGTTCACAGTGGTAACACAGTGGTAATGTATCTTGGGACTGAGCATAAGATAGGTGTAAAAAAAGACAAATGGTGAAGTTATATCAATAATAACAGTCTCATCTTAAGGCACAAAATCTTACACATTTTCCCCTAAACTTGGTCAGGGACTGAACCTGGAATTTCCAGGCAAAAGAGGGGTAGGGAGAAGAAGCACGAATTCTATCACGTTGTCCCTTCTATTAACTATTTAAAAGGCTGTTACATGAATGATGGGAAAAAGGCCAATCACTATATATTCACATAAAGCACAGGGGGAAATACTGTCTTTAGACAGATATAGCAAAGTGACTCATTTTCCAGTGCCACAGTAAACACCAGCCTTTTTAGCATTGTTCCAGCATTAAGACAATACAGTATAAACTGAGCTTCAGCTAAAGTCTTTGGCAGCATTTAGTGTGGGGATAAGAAGCTGAAATCTTACACGGACACAGGAGCTGAGTCGTGTAGCCATCAACACACATATATGTACTGTAGACCAGGGGTCTCCAACCTTGGCAACTTTAAGACTTGTGGACTTCAACTCCCAGCTATGCTGGCTGAGGAATTCTGTGAGTTGAAGTCCACAAGTCTTAAAGTTGCCAAGGTTGGAGACCCCCACTGTAGACTACAGACATTCAGAAACCCCAAAGCTTGAATCAAATCAGCAAGGCCAATTTTTTTTTAAATAAAAGTTTTATTTAAGTTTTCACAAAACATACAAATACAAATAAAATATCTTTTTTTGAGAACAGTGTGCCCCCGGGTTATCATTTCTCCATACAGACATAAACTCAATGCATATTTATCTTATACATTCTAATCCATATCTTATAACTATTTTCACAATTTTTCATTTTTTCCCCTTTCTTTACTTCCTATAGCCTTATTTTAAATTATCTCATTCCTTTCTTAATTCAATTACATATCTTTTTCTAATTTTTAAAATCTTTCTAATCAATGTTTTTATACTTTCGTCTGTCCTGTTTACAATTTCATATTATCTTTTCTCATAAAACAAATTTTCCCCTGTAATTGCTAGAGTGGAATATAACACCTTTGTATCTTTTTTCAAATCTTGTTTAAAAATTTAAGTTACACCTTTACAGTTATAACATTCAATTTCTAACATCTATTTTATAACACATACCTATTTTCAATCGAATTCTGCTTGGTACATTCCCTTAAAAATACACACTAAATTCTTAAAAGAAAAAAGTATATATGTATATATATATCTGTGTATATATGTATAACAATAGTAAATGGAATAATTATTCTATTCAAGTACAGCTCTGCCATTAATATTAATAACAATCTTTTACATTTCTATTTCTTTTAACAAACATTACCTAGTAATATCAGTTGTCTTTCACTTTCATCTATATTTCACATTTTATTTATTTAAATAAGTAAAGTCTTTAAATAAAAAAAACCAAACAATAGTTATTAACAGTAGTCAATAAAGTTATTATTCTTATTCAAGTTCATCTTGTCAACTGATAAGAATCTTCCATGTTTCTTTTCAGTTTTTTTAAATTTTCTTTTTAAATCATTGAGAGCCTTATTATTTTTACAAACAAATATTCCACTACACATCAATATAATTTTTTTCTATCACTTTAATCATCTAAAATATTTTCTAACCCTTTTCTATTTCTAATATAACAATGCTATCCCATGTACCCTTGCAGAATCCTCTCCTTAAGTTAAATTTTAACCATTGTCTCTGTGTCTTTTAAATAGGTTTATACCTTTAATTCTTGTACGCTTTTCCTGTACCTCTATATCTTGTTTCTGTCCTTTGTAGCTTCTTTTCCTTTCCTTCCCTCTCTTCTTCTCCCTCCCCTTTTTATTCCCTTTTCTATCTGATTCTCCCTTCTGTGATCCTCCCTTCTGCTTCTTCCTGATATTATGATTACTTTTCAAATTACTCTTTTTTTTTGGTTGTTGCTTCAATGCTTAAGTTTTTAACTCCCTTTCACCCCTTTCCCTTTTTTACCCCACTTAAAATTGCTTGGTCATTAAAGATGGCTTCTTCGTTGTCCCGCCCTTCTTGTTCTGCCAGCATTTCTTGTTGTTTTTCATAGTTCAAGATCTCCATTTCTAAAAATTGAAATACGAAGCCAAAAAATCCTCTTCCCTCTTGTGCTTCTTCTTTTTGTTCTTTAAGTCTCATTTTTAACTCTTCAAGAAGTGATGCCATTTTAAAAAAAATTTAAACAACCCCCAATTGATTTTATTTTATTTCATTAGGATTCTCCATCCAAAGTTCCAAGAGTCATCCAATAATCCAAAACTGTTTCTTGCTTCTTTTCTCACTTTCTCTTTCCAGGGGCTTTGTTATCTTGTAACAAAGTTTCAGCTACAACGTATCTTTTGCAAGCCTTGTTAAAATTCCACTATTGATTTTTTTTAAGTTCCAGGTGGTCTCCTCCATTTTCCAGATTCCACCCTCTTTTTTCCTTTTTCCCTCCACTTTCTTTCTTTTTTTAAAGAAAAATTTTAAATTATCCAAGAATCTTTATCCCTTTGACACTTTGTTTTCAGCTAGAAATAGCCTGTTAATGTCAAAGTGGATTAATATCAATTTCTTATTCAAATCTCTTCTTCTTAGCGTTCCAAGTCAATTAAAACTGTCAATGTGAGAGGAAAAAAAGCCAATTCCGTTTCCTTTCCCTTTCTCTTTTGCTGCTTAAAATCTTTTTTAGGAATAGTATTAGTCTTTAAAATTCAGGTTCCAGGTACCTTAAATAGATGTTCTCCGTTCAACCCGGTCAGTCAAACTTTCTCCTTTAAACTTTCTCCTGCACAATCTTGTCCGGTCAGGTTCTTTTTTGAGATGGCCATTTCTGACCACCACTGCAACCGCCTTTGGGAAAGGGAGTAATGGCCAGCCGAGGAGGAGAGATGCGGCTCTCCTCAACCCCGCTAGTGGCTCCCACTTCTTCACTACCTCTACGGGGTGGCTTCAGCCCCGAATCCGGGCGGCTCGGGGCACTCCAGCGGCGAGCACAGATCAAAACCGCGCACAATTGCGATTTCGGTCCGTTGCCGAAGAAGCCCAAACTGGAAGTCCAGCAAGGGCAATTTTTGATCGGCGAGACATGCTGGCTTATTTCACAAAACTGTTGAGGCACTAGTGCTTTCCTCGATGATTAAAAAATGTATCCTTTCAAGAGAGCCCATCCTTCTAACAACAAGAAATAGATTTTGCTTACTAAATTATAAATTGAATAACCAACTTCTACTGAGTATCTCTCAAAAGGGATTTGCAAATGCAAAAAGCATTCAGTTAAAAGGCTAAATTCACTCTACAAGTTTACTTAGAAGCTAGGACAACTAGATTCAATAGGACTAACTATCATGAAAGTGCACGTAGCCCTGTAACAACAAAATAATTGGTTAACTACCACCAATATAAAGGGTCTTACCCTGGCAAAGCTTGTTTCACTAAAGAAAACAAACAAACAAACCAGAGATAGCTGAATATACTCATTCCCAACATTCTTTTCAGCAGATTCTTAGTGAAGCTTCATTGGGCTTACATACCTGTTGCCTTTTAGGTTTTTCAGCCTGGCTTCCAAATCATTAAGGAGGTTGATTTTCTTGCAGCACTGGGTGCAGTAGACATCTAAGAGCTCACTGTTATAGATATGCCTCATTTTCCGTGGGGTTTGACCAGCACTGTTGGTAGAAAGACAATGAGTTACTAAATTAGATCCTATAGGCATTATGAGCTCAAGCTAAGTTTTGGTTGTTTTTGTTTTATTTTCACATGAAACTCTGTATTGCTCCTTATGGCCATACAGTAGTTGCTTTTTAAAATCCCATTATTCAAAAATTTACAGGCATTTCCATACTCTCAGAATGCCCCTGATATGTCTATATATACATTCCACTTTTTTTAAAATCCAAAGGGGAGACTTGCAACCAAAATGTCTCTCTTCAAGCATTTAGTGACTATAAATTAACACTTATTATTTATATCATTTTTTTTAATGTGGACTTCAGAATTAATAGCGGTGATATTCTCAGCCATGTTCCTTTAAGGAAGATTATTCAGGTAGCCAGCCTCTGGGAACAACCCACTTCCTTCACTACATCAATTCTCTCTCAGGAGGAAAACCAGGAAGAAACAAAATTGTGAGAATTTTCCTCCAGAGGGAAGGAGGAAGAATGAATTTGACTTTCCACTATTTTTCTCAATGTCAGTTCTGCTCATAGGCATAAGTAGAGCTCTCTAGATCAGTCTTTCTCAACCAGGACAACTTTAAGATATCTTAAAGTTGTCGTGGTGGAGAAAGACTGTTCTAGATCAAGGGTGTCACACTCACTGCATCACGTTGCCATCACATGATGTTTCATGACATTTTACCCTTTCACGGAGCTGGGGTGGACATGGCCGGTGTATGATGCATCCAACCTACAGGCTGCCAGTTTGACACCCCTGTTCTAGATCATCAGATAAACCCCATCAGATGCCCCCCTCCCCCAGCCTCTAATAATGAGAGAGATCTGGTGTTAAGCACTTCCATCACCCAGCACCAACTGAGGGCAGCTGGAGTAAAGGGGGGGAATTAAGAGTTGCCTCTTTTGTTTTATACTTGAAGGATCTGAAGTGGCTCTCCTGTTTTGACTACCCATACATTGTTACATCAATTTATTTGGTGAAGTTGGGGAAAAAAATACTGTAGAAACTTCCAGTCCACATAAGCAATAACAATTCCCAATACTTTAACAAGACTAAAGATTTCACACTGAATTATCTTGCTATTCAGACTTTCCATTAGTCTTTCAGTTCTGATATTAAAAATCACACATATGAAAGTATTTTCCAGGTCAACCTGCAATATTGTTGTTATTGTTATTATTATTTATTTATTTATTATTTATTATTTATTGTTATTAAATAAGATGACATGTTGCATTTCCAATTCACTGTCTTGGGGTTTGAACAAGATAATTGCAAGGTTTCTGCCAAAAGAGGACAGAGGCAAAAGGTGGAATTAGTATTCATGAACACCAAAGCAACTAATTGAGTCGTGGTTATCTTCCTAAGTCCTTTCTCCACCTCCAACATAAAGTGAGGCATAGCATGTATTAAAGTAGCCAACCTGGAAGAAACGGATGAGCCAAGGTCAGAATATGCATGTGTCCTGCTTTCATCATCAAGACAAGGACTGCTGGGGGTGAAGTCTACATCATCTCCTTCTCCATAATCTTCAAACTGTTCTTCATTACTGATCAGAGAGGCAGTGGAATAGGTGGAAAGATCAGAAGATGCAGGATTCAGCAGACTTGATCTTGGAGAAAAAGATAGGACACATCATGACACAATCCCAACAATAAGCTTTCTACCTTCAAAACACAAAATGCTTCCAAAACTCGGAGGACGTCACTTTGAGAAGGTGGGCTAAAACTGGCAGAGAAATGTTAAAACAGCCAGCTAAAAGACAAGACAATTCAGTTCTTGAATTCAAAAAGAAGGAGACATGTAGTTAAAACTCATTCCTTGTCTAATGCAGAGTGACATTGCTACAAACAATTTTTATACCATAAATATATAGTCTCCTCTCATTATCTTTCTAGACACATCCATGTAATTTTCTTGGCAATAATACAGAAGTAGTTTGCCATTGACTGAATGTTTAAACTCACTTGAGAAGGCTGTATAATTACAAATACACATTCCTAATATATACCACATTGTGATTCATATACACATAATTATGAGTTCCTAGAACTTGCTGAAATTTATTCTTCCCTTCCAATCTCTCCTTCATCCCACAAGTGCTTCACATTTTCCTTAGCAATTGTCTCCACCTTCATGGGGAAGCTCACATCATTCTTATAAAATGAGTTTGAGACTGGGGTAGGCAACCTTTGGCGTGTGTGGGATTCACTGGCCCACAATGAACAGTTCAGCAAATGCACAAATGCCAGGCTATAAATATACTGATTAAACATACATAACATCTCATGCACACAAAGATGCCCCAGCAATTTTTCCTGTCAGAGGAAGAAGATAGACTCTAAATATGTACTCCCCTTTAGATAGACCAATTCAGCTTTTGACCCTAACATACTTAATTGCATCCAGCTATCAAATACTATTCGGTTCTTTTAAATCAGAAGTATCAAACTGGATTTCTTCAAGGGCTGAAAGCCCTTTCTTCAGCATTGTTAGTTCTCTTCCGCGGGCCGGCTTGGGGGGAGGGGGAGACGGGACAGAAGCCTCCTGCAGCACCCTGCTGGTCAAATGGGGTTCGGAGAGGTGCGTGAGGCCCCTCCAATGCCCCGTTTTCAGCCTGGACGGCTTCCTGCAACACCCTGCTGGCCAAAAGGGGGCATGTGGGGGCCTCATGTGGGCCCCCCGCACCCCATTGTGGCCAGCAGAGTGCTGCAGGAGGATGTTTTGGCTGCCAGAGGCACTGCATTCTGGTCCTTTGCTATTTCCAGGCCGGCTCCACTGACCAGATTTAAGCACCCCGCAAGCTGAATCCGGCCCACAGGCCTTGAATTTGACACTCCTGTTTTAAATGATAGAGAAATGCAAGGAAAGATTTATACAACACATATTTACATAAGGTAGAAGACTTCGCAGTTTGCATGTTGAACTAGGTCTTGAAAGAGCTAGATTTATATTCTTATTTAGATGTGACACGTATGGAGTGACTTTAGGCTAATTAACTGAGTTCAGGAATGGTGTGAAGCTGGAAGAAAATTACCTATGATGCCCTGACCAACTTGATGAAAAGGTGACTTAGAAATGAGGTACAAGTAGAAGACAGGTCTGAGGAGAATTCAAAATCTGACCTGGGAAACCGTGCCCCCAAGACAGGTCAGGAATAAATTTAATTCTGGAATAGGCTAGGATTGATGGGCTATAGATCCTTTATAAAGGATCAGACTTCAAGATCACAATTAACTTTTCTTAAGAAAAGCCCATAGCAGTTTGTAGTACTATATATGAAATTAATGATAATATAAGTACACTATTATATTAAAAACTATATACCATAAAAACAAATATATAAAATAAGCCATGTGGTGAAGACAAAAGAGAAAGAAAAAAGGTAAAAACCTTAACCTTCTCAACTTCCTTGAGAAAAAAAAAATCTAGAAAATAGGAAAATAAAAAAGAATTATAAGCAACTAAGCAAATTAAAAGTTCTCTAAAAATCCCTACACTGTAGCTAATGTTTGTGTGTATGTTTGTCTATCCTCATTTAATGAATATGTCTATTTATGTCTATCAGACTATTAAATTAAATATGTTCCTTTGTCTTTTCTCCAACATTTTTATTCTATTTTAAACAGACTCAATACATTTTGAATTGTATGGTCTGGTTTCTCCTTTCAAGATAAAGCCAAATGCTGAAAATTGACACATTTCATTAAGGCAGCTTTCGGAGCACAGGACACAAACATCCTTCCATTTAGTGCATAATCACTTTTGGGGCAACAGTCCAAAGCTGCATATATTTTAATGTTCTTCATAGATGGAAAAATTCCAGATTTGGAGAATGGAACAAAACATTGATATATTTAACCTTTAACTGCTTTTAAAAATTAGTGCACTATAAACAAAAAAGTCCAACCAAGAAAGAACGTCAAGCAGATCTTTCTCATTGTCTACCTCCTTATGTTACTTTAGACATAAATCATTTCCAAACCGGAAAAGAGGTTTAGTGATGGCAGCAGAGCAAAAACAAACAGTACCTACAACAAGGAAGGGTATACAACAGAAACTATCTATGTGGAGGTTGTCCAGGCTAGTTGAGTAGCAATCTAGGAGCTGCCACTTTGGAAGCATTTTAACCAGGGATGAGAAATAAAGAGTGATGGGAAACTGTCTCCTTCAACTTTGATCTGATACAGTTCAAAGCTTTCCAAATTGCTTCAACAAGATGAACTGGGTGGCCTTTCTGATTCAGTGAACCAAATCAGGTCACCTCCACAGCTTTGTCAAAGCAGATTTCATTTGCTTTGCACTGGCTTTTGGTGCATATCACTACAGCTCTGGGATACTCACACAAAGAGTCTTTTGACATCATGCCAACACAGCTACGAGTGTTAGGCAACTATATTAGTAACATTATTTTGTACATGCTGGTGTACAAGTACCAGTGGAAGAACATGTTATACTGTACAGATGTATATTTGTACAAGAACTATTGGTTACCTCAATTCCTGGACCCATTATTTGCTGTCCTAGAACTAGTTTGGCCTAGTAGTTAAGAGTGGTGCAGAGAAGAAAGAATTCCTAGAATATTTAACATGCCAGGCTAGAAAGCAGTAGTTCTAGTTCTACCTTAGGCATGAAAGCCAGATGAGTGAACTTTGGGCCAGTCACTCAATAATCTCACAGGGATGTTGTTGTGGGGAAAATAGGAGTAGGAAAGAATGTTAGGTATATTTGCCACCTTGAGTTATTGATAAAAAATACTAAAAGGTGTGATTAAAAATAAAATACCGCATCATGTTGCCGTCACGTGATGTTTTGTGACAATTTTCCCTTTTGCGGAGCTGCAGTGGGCGTGGCCTGTGCATGACGCATCTGGCCTGCGGGCTGCCAGTTTGACACCCCTGCCCTAATTCTATCCCAACCAACTGCTTTTCCTCTTGCATCACCTTTATTTAGTGCTGCCTTTCTCTACTTCCAGCCAGTGTGCTGTGCAACCCTGCCCCAAACATCAGAAGAACAATTCCAGGTGAGCGCTATTCAACCTCCTATTACCATTTTTCCACCACAGAAATCAGCCAGGGTTGCTTTAGTGCTGCACCTTGTTGCCTGGCATGAGAAAAGCTGGAGAATTAATAGCAAGGAGAATGTAAAGACAGAGCAAAAGAAAGAGGATGAGTAGACTGGCATATTTTGCATTTAGCAACTGCAGGAATTGGATCAAACTGGTTAGCTAACATCCTTATTGCTCTTACTTTCCACTCACTTCTTCCGTTCTAATATATCAAATCTAGAGCCCTAGTGATCATTAAGAATAAGTCACAGATCGTATGCTTTCACTTTTGTTCTACGAGGCCTCTATGAACATTAGGCCTTATAGCAGCTGAAAAGCCCCCAAATCACAGAGCTCACTGTACAATATCTAGTATGTGATTCTTTTTTGTATTTGATTTGTTAACTGAGAAGACTCTAGAACATGGGTATCAAACTCACCGCATCATGTTGCCATTACGTGATATGTCATGACATTTTCCCCTTTGCAGAGCTGAGGTGGGCGTGGCCTGCATGTGACATACCTGATCGCAAGCTGCCAGTTTGACACCCCTGCTCTAGAGCAATGTTTCTCAACCTTGGCAACTTTTAAGATGGATAAACTTCATTTCCCGAATTCCCAAGCTGGCAATGGGGAAATCACTGGGTTAGATTATTGTAGGATTTAAATTAGGATGAAGTGGGTGAGGGAAAGGTTGTTGAAGATTTCCATGTAAGCTGCCTTAAGCTTGAAGTCCACCACCTTAAAGTTGGCATGGTTGAAAAACACTGCTAGAGCAGGGGTGTCAAACTTGCGGCATCATGTTGTCGTCACGTGACGTAACACACCTTTTTCCCCTTCGCTAAACCAACACATGGTGCATCTGGCTAGTGGCCACGAATTTGACACCCCTCCTCTAGAGGGATAGATTTTTCAAGAAATCAGTAGAAGCAGCAACCATCATCATTTTTGCCAGGGGTCACTGGATCAGGAAGACAACAAGCAGGGAAGTTGTGGGTAGCTGAAGGACCGAAGGCATCTGAAAAGCAGGAAGTTATCCAATTATATTTACAGTGCTTCTGCCAATCTGCAGCCTCTATCTGTACAACTGTGTTGTGCTTCCAATTACTAGCCACTTTTAGTTTTGTCCTCCATGTTAGTCTAGCAGAGCTTCTTCTATATTTATCTCAGTTTCTCTGTTAAATCACAGGCGGAACACTATCCACAAAATATCTGGACTAGTCCTTTGACAACTCCTACAAAGGCTTTGATTCCTTATTTAAGAGCCTGAAAACAAAGGCCAAGCAGAATGATTGATCCTCTCAAGAGTAATGCAAAAAGTTAGCAAAAATTAAAGACTGGAAGTTAGTAAATTGATAACTCTCACATATCTGTCTGTCTGTCTGTCTGTCTATCAGTCTGTCTATCTATCTATCTATTGATCTGTCTGTCTGTCTATCTATCTATCTATTGATCTGTCTATCTGTCTGTCTGTCTGTCTGTCTATCTACCTATCCTGCCCCCTTTATATATGCTGTAACTGAGAGATATTTTCCTCAGCTGTGCTGCCATTGGTAGACAACGATGTGGAAGCAATGCATCCATCAATACCTATCACAGGGAAGGGACCTGGCCTATAGCTGAAGGCATTTTAAAAGAATTTAAAAAAAACACAAACCAATAACTTTTCTAACAGTATTTGTACTCACTTATCTCCAGGCAGGAAGAGGCCATTCAACACACCATCCTTCTCAACCTTGCACACAACTGATGCTTCTGAACCGTGGTTACTTTCAATGGCACTGTCCATATCAGACTCATGATGGAGTTCTTGCTGGGCCAGGGTCATGGTGTCTTCATCTGGAAAGAGATCTGATTCCCTGAAGGCACTTTCACGGTCCCCGTAGCTACTCTCTGGAGTTTCAGTGCCCTAGTAAAGGAAAATAAATGAGAAAGGGAAGAGTCAGCAAGCACGTGGGATTGCTCAAGGACTGAGTACTTAGTAATCATGACAGGGATAGAAGCTACTTTTTGCAACCCTCTGGTTTCTTACACCTTGTAAATCCAGGATGACACAAGAAGGGTCAATTCCCAAGTTCTTCAGAAAGGCAAGGTTACTGTACTCCCCGATCACTTCAAGTCATATGTCAAAGAAAGAGCCTATGGGCCTGATTTTGAATCTGTTACTTGTAAAACCTGCCTAGCAGAACTGCCAACTCTCCAGTTTGCTGATCTCCATCTTTTAAAAGCTTTACAGAGCTATATTTCAGGATGAAAAGTATGCCTCTCCCCCCTCATTCAACCTCATGTAGGTCTAGCACTCTTTTCTCTTGTGCTTTTAGGTCTGAGCAGCAAGATGGGTTCACTGAGCCTTGTATGGACTTGAGAAAACACTAACATGTTTCAAATCTGAGGTTGATATTTCCCCCCCCTTTTTTTAGACAGCAAGATATTTTAAAGGTTACAATAAGTCCTTCTGCCCTCAAAATCCAACAAATCTTCCCAAAACGGATCAACGGGGACTTCCCTTTTTATTTACTTTTCTATTCAGAAAGGGAGTGAAGAAAAGATATGCAGTGATAGCATTTTCCCATTCTTTATTAGTCAATTAGGTATCATCAAGTCAGGCTTTGGGTAGAAGGTTGCAAGCCTTTAAATCTTATTAATTGAAACTCCCACTGGAGTTTTACCAGGCTTATTTCTGCGTAAACTATATAGGACTGTATTGTTCAGCTCTTTTTCTCTCACTTCTGATATTGAAAGTATGCACTAAGAAATGATTCTGCCAGCCTGATATCCTCAGATATTAGGCTACGTTATTCCCACGGTATGCCAAATCTGTACTCAGATAATGAATGAAGTTGTAAGTAAGTATAGGCAGTTCTTGTTTAGTGAACACTTTTGGGACCAATAACTCAGTTGTTAAGCGAAGCGGCCACTAAGTGAAATCCTGGCTGTCCTTACAATCTTCTACTTTGCTGGTTTGCAAAAGTCATAAATGTGGGGATTGATTGCAACTTTTCATCACTGTCATAAATGCAAGCAATTGCTATCCAATACAGTCAGTAAACAAGGACTATCTGTAAGTACAGATGTGTGTATTTGTCTATGTGTGTCTATATAAATCTACATCGATCTAACCTTACTACTAAAAGCTTTTCATTTCAGATTTCACATGCTTCAGAATGCACTTAAGTCTAGTTAATTTCCCACACAAGTGAAACATGATACAATGAGCATCGCTTGTATTTAAGTTTCAAAACATACTGTAACAAACTGCTTGACAGCAAGTTCTTATCTGCCCATTTCCCGGGCAGACTATCAACAAAACCATTAAATGTGAGGTCACATCTAAAACATTAAAATAAGCAAAACTGGATGAAGGAATAAACACATTTTTATTCAAGTTCAAATGTATGCCAAAGATTAGAAAAAATACTGTCAATCTTAGAGGTTGATAGAATTGTAAGAAAAAGTATGAAGCTTTTCGGGGGGGTGACAGCAAGGCAATAAAAAAGAAACACACAAGAACAGCCTTGCTGGATATCATGCCAAAGGCCATCTTAGTTTTTCACAGTGGTGAAAAGATGCTTTTCACCAGATGCTTCTGAGGCACTTCCCCACAAAAAAAGATATAATAAGTGCAGTACAGTTTTTAAAGGGGAAAATATTTGATATAAAATAGTAATCAGAAGCAATTTTAATGTTTATAAATACAGGTAATTTCCAGTTGGGTACAATGCGAGGGAATCTGGAAGCTGATACTGTTTTTACCCATGGTTTTTGGTATTTATTTTTCATCTTTTTTATAAGATGTATGTTTCTTGATTTGTTTTATCATACTTAAGAACTGCCCATCTCCCTCACAGGGGAATTCTGAGTGGTATAGACTTTATTGTAGGTAATGATAAATAGTGGTGACATCCATACAATTATTAATGTTCAGGGTTTTGTAGTGTTTTTCAATGTGTAAAGATGAGGAATCTAGTTTTACATATGTTCAATTTAATTATTTAATCAATGAAATAAGGACATAATTTTTAAATTTTATGACAATTGTAAATTCTGTACTTATTTATGATATTTTGTTTTCCTTCCATTATGCCCTTATTCCAGAGGTCTCCAAACTTGGTACTTTAAGACTTGTGGACTTCAACTCCCAGAATTCTCCAGCCAACTGGCTAAGTTTGGGGACCCCTGCCTTATTCATTTTCTTCTTTTTTCTTATGTTGAAAGGCTGTCAAAATGCCTTTCCTCTGAGGATTCGATTTTCCCGCTGGGAGAGCTCCGGTGCAAGGATACAGACAACTGCTTGAAAGCTGGATCTTTTTATTTTTCAGGAAGGCAAGAGATAGCAAGAAGTCTGCGTTCCTGGGCTAGCTAGCTTTGTATGATAAGTCCCTGATTTTTTATACCTTTTCTCCTTTTGTGTGTGTGTGCTTGTGTTTGTATTTCTTAATGTTTTAAATCCTGTCAGGGGTTGTCTTCATTTCCGCCGGAGGGTAAACTCCGTGGGGTGCAAAAGGCAAACTTTGCAGGGTGGTTTGATTGGATTATCGGTTTCGTCCTAATCTTTTTTTTGCTTAATGGTTTCTTATATTTGTTTTGTGGCAATCTCCTGTCTGTCTCCTTTGCAATATATTTTGTGTCTTTTGTCTGTTTGTTTTGCTGATTTGGCATGTCCTGTGTTTGTAAGGGTTTTCTTTTCTTGTTTCCTTAGTTTTCTTAATTATTTGGGCTTTTGTCTAAGGGGCTTCTTTAATGCCTTTTATTTGATTCCTTTTCCTATGCAAGTTTGTTTTATGGCTGGCTTGATGTTCCCTTTGGGCTTTTCCTGCTTGGGTGACACCACTGTCCTCATGAAGTTCCCTTTCCACACTTATATGCAGTTATTTTATTCCTTAAATGTTACAAAAATTAAAATCTTCATTTAAAAAAAGGAGTTGCAGACATACTTATCTCCTCCAATTTTCCCTCTGAAACTAGTATTTGGAGGCACACTTTCTCCAACCTAGAGGTACTGTCTCCCTAAATTTCTCCAGTCCTGGGTTAAGTCATCCAAGTAAGTAGCAGGGGCAATGTTAATTATATGCTCTGAGAAGGATTATGGTTTATTTGTTTTTGTCAAATCAACATTGGATTATTCCCCTCCTGGTAATCAAGGAGGAAGAACATAATTTACTCAAGAACCTTTGGTGAGAAAGTTTGATGAAGAGCCCTAATTTGCTTAGAAGAAACAAAAGACAAAATAAATTTTAACAAAGATTGGGAGGTGCATATGAATCAGGCTAAGACCCAAGAGAGAAAAGGGTAATTATGATTGAACCACTAGAAATAGAAGTGTCATAAAAGAGGGTAAGTAATAAGTGGATAAGTCAAGATAAGTGGACTTCAGTTCTCAGAATTCCCCAGCCAGTATGCTAGCTAGAATTCAGGAAATTGAAGTTCACATCTCTTCAAGTTGTCAAGATTGAGAAACACAGATCTAGAATTAATAATGAAATGGCCCGATTGTCCCCAAACAGCAAATTTTTAGGGTTATTAAAGAAGATGGAAGAACTCCAAAATTTGCTATCCAAGAGAACGGATATTAAATCAGCAATTGCATTTAGTATCCAACAGCATAAAATGATACAATGCACATATGGGCATGTAGAATCCTAGTTTAACGCTAATGGTTCTTATCTGTAGTGATGATCAAGTTGCATTTTGGAGGGTACTGGAAACTTAACAAAACTCCGGTCAAGTGTGGGAATGCTGTAAAGATAAGAATTCTACCCTGGGAATTATTGGAAAGGAATTGTAAATAAAATTACTAATACTGTAACATTTTGTGTAAATAAATTTATTATTATATAAACATCCAACATTAAAAATCCAGTTTTAACACAATAGGTAAAGCACTAGAAAGCATTATATAAGTCTGAGTGCTATTCCTTAAAGGGCAAGTTTTCTTTTTTCCTTTCTTCATTAGGATGTGTGGACTTCAAGAATTCTCCAGGCAGCAATTAGGGAGTTCAGGGAATTGGGGGATTCTGGGAGCTGAAGTCTGCACATGTTGACATTGCCAAGTTTGAAAAAGATTGCAGTAGATTATACACTGGTCTCCCATAAGTGATATTTGTAATACTTAATACCTTGCCTCTGGTTCACTTCAAGGTGAAAAAGTAATGCAAAACGTTGGCAAATCTCTACTAAGGACACATTAATATTCAGGTAGTTCTCAAGTTATGGCTGTAATGGAGCCCGTCATCATGATCATAACTTGTGACGGTCATACAGAGTCATGGGACTAACCTGCTTTTACAGCCTTTACAGCAGTGGTCGTTAAGTGAATACAACAATTATAAAGCTGCTCCTGTGGTCATTAAAAATTGCTGTGGTCATTAAGCAAACCAACAGCTTCTGGTTTAGCTGAAAACTGAAAGTAAATGCCAGTTTTTGACAAAACCATCATAAAACTCAAGTCATGTGACTGCAGGATGTTGCAAATGGCCATAAATACAGCCCATTTGCCAAGCATCCAAAGCTGGTGATCAAAGTACAGTTACACAACTATACACAACACAGTCACACAACCCCCAACTGCTGGAATGTCAAATCCAGATCACCAGTACCCTCCCCAGGTAGGTCTGTCGGATCAGAAGTCAAGGATTACCTACTTTCAACTCCAGATACCAGAATAGACAGAAGACAATCAAGTTCACTGTATTACTGCAAAGGAACCTGTTTTTCAGGGGTATCCCGAGATCTCTTTGCTTTCACAGAGGAAAAATGTGGGGCAGAGGGCAAAAAATGAAAAGTGGCTTTGTGTTCCTCTTAGCAGTTTTAAACTGAGACAGACTATGAGTTTCTGGTGCCAGAGAGGGAAAAGCCAAAACAGGACTGATCTGGAATCCGGAAATAGGTCAGGGACCACAGGAATGTTTG